ACAGCCTTTTGTTGTCACACATTCTGCTATAAAGAATCAGGCCATAACTGGAGACTGCATAACTTATATCACCCAAGCCACATCCTTTATTTTGTTTCTTTTCTCCTGTTCTCTTGGATTCGAATATGTTTGTTCTTAAAATGCAGGTGCGTTAACTAAAGTCGTGATCCCTCGCCCTAGCCCCAACGGTGAGCCCACACCTGGCGTTGGCAAGGTTTGTACAAAACCGTCGTGTAATATTCACTGTTCTATGCAAGCGGAATCTCTGGCTAAAACTGTGTAAAGCGATGTTTGGGTTTTGCGCAGGTGTTTCTCGAGTATGCGGAAACAGAGAGCTCGAGCAGCGCAAGAAACGGGATGAACGGTAGGAAATTTGGAGGGAACCAAGTGGTGGCTGTGTTTTACCCTGAAGATAAGTTTGAGCAAGGGGATTATTCTCTCTAGAGATTTTAATCCTTCAAACTACTTTGTGTTTGTTTACCATTTCTGATTCTCCTTAATCTTTGTCTGATTATTTTACCAAGCCATTTACTTGTTCATGTTGTATCAAGACAAAAAGGATCCACCTTACATTTACAATGCTTGTAACATTATTGTCACAAAAAAAAATTGATATCTTTATGATAACAAAAATGCTTCAGTCGACCCATATCCTGAACTAAAATGTTTTTTATATTCAATGTTGAAACATTTTGCGTAACCAAACTTGCAAAACCCATTTCTTACAAAGTCTTAAACCCTAAAGTCTCCTTCTCTTCGTTCCCGGTGGCGAAGCTTGCAATGACGTCGTCTCGTCTCTATCTCCGGTTCCTTCGCCAGTTTTCCACCGCCGCTACATATTCTCCAGCCACCGTTTCTTCCGGCGCAATCACTGTATCAAAAGCTAAGTCCAGACTCCGTAAAGTTCAAGATCCGGATAAAGCCTTAGCGATTTACAATTCCGTCTCCAATAATCCCTCATCTCCTCTCTCTTCTCGCTACGCAATGGAGCTCACTGTTCGACGCCTCGCTAAATCTCAACGTTTCTCCGACATTGAATCACTAATTGAGTCTCAGAAAAACGACCCAAGAATCAAAACAGAGACTTTTCACTCTACATTGATCAGATCTTACGGACGAGCTTCCATGTTTGATCATGCTATGAAGACGTTCGAGGAGATGGAACAGCTCGGTACACCCAGAACCGTTGTTTCTTTCAACGCATTACTCGCTGCTTGTCTTCACTCTGATCTGTTTGAAAGAGTACCCCAACTGTTCGACGAAATTCCTCAGAGGTATTATAGTATTATTCCTGATAAAGTCTCTTATGGTATGTTGATTAAGTCATATTGTGACTCTGGTTCGCCTGGTAAAGCTATGGAGACTATGAGAGATATGGAAGTTAAAGGCGTGGAAGTTACCATCATTGCTTTCACCACGATTTTAGGATCATTGTATAAGAATGGCGAAATCGATGTAGCTGAGAATTTGTGGACCGAGATGGTGAATAAAGGCTGCGTATTGGATAATACGGCTTATAATGTTAGACTCATGAATGCTGCGAAGGAAAGCCCCGAAAGAGTCAAGGAATTGATGGAAGAAATGATCAGTGTTGGATTGAAACCTGATACGGTTAGTTATAACTATCTTATGACTGCTTATTGTGTGAAAGGAATGATGAATGAAGCGAAGAAAGTATACGAAGGGCTTGATCAGGAACACGATTGCTTTGCAAATGCAGCGACGTTTAGAACATTGATATTTCATCTGTGTATAAACGGTTTGTATGATCAAGGTTTAGTAGTGTTCAAGAAGAGTGCGTTGATGCACAAGATTCCAGATTTCAAGACGTGTAAACATTTGACTGAAGGATTGGTGAAGAATAACAGAATGGAAGACGCACGAGGAGTGGCTAGGACGGTGAAGAAGAAATTCCCTCCGCGTTTAGTAACCGAGTGGAAGAAACTAGAGGAGAATCTTGGATTGTATACAAAGGCCAAAACTGCTGCTTCTGCTTCATCTTCTTCACGAACAAGACAAGTGTTAGATGAAGAAATAGAGTCTGGTGCTGAATAAAGCTCAAGAACTTACTAAAGAAGATCTGATTTTTGTTTTGTGTTTGCTTGCTTGAGCTAATATTAGGGACTTGTTGCTTACATTTCTATTCTCATAAATTAGCTGTAACAATTTAAAACTTCATAAGAGTTATAGAATTTCTTTTAAGATGACTTCCGAATTTCTTTTCCACCATTCCTCCTTACAAATTGAAAATTCCAACAATTGTTATTTTACATGTTTTACTTTCTATCAAAATTATATATATTTTCTTAAAAATTTTAACCGATAATAAAATTCGGAGGATGCCAAGTTTTTTTCGAGATATTGTCAAAAGCGTTAGAAGCCCGTCTTCAAAGTTTGTTGTGTGGGAATTCCTTTTGATTAGTAAGAGTCGATACAAAACATTGTTTGGTCTTTCATTGTCATCGAAAATTTCCATCCTCCTCATCCGTTAGGTTTAGGGAAGATCACTAGATCAGTATGTAATTTTTGTGATTTATTAATCGTTTCTTTCATCTTGTAATCTCTTCCAAGTCAATTACTAACAATATAATTCCAATGAAATATGTCAAGAATTGATAAGTAATTGCTATTTTATGAACAAGACTAATGACGGTATTTTGCTGAATGATGTATAAATGGGCCTATAAGGAAAAGCCCATTAGTGACGGATAAACCCTTTTTTCCTTCTCCGTTCGTTCTAGAGAGAACTCTCCAGAGAAGTTTCGAGTAGAAGACAGAAACAAAATCGAAGACCCTCAGATTTCGTAATCGGAAAGCGTTTTTTTCCGGCGACGGAGTAAGGAAATTCAAGGAGAAGTAGATGACGACTCGAATAGCTCCTGGTGTCGGAGCTAATCTTCTCGGCCAACACTCCGCTGAGAGAAACCAAGACGCTACTGTTTACGTCGGTGGTCTCGATCCACAGGTTCTTCTCCATTCTCTCTCTCTCGCGACCTTCAATTTCTGATTTCTCGATTTTGCACCAGTTTTTGTGTGTGTATGTGTGTCCCCTGCGCATGAAGATGAGTGATTTTAGGTTTCAGATTGATTCGGAATTTTGTGGTTTCTTCGATTTCAGTTGAATCTTTGGTGAAATTGATCCGTTTTCGTCTTTAAATTGTAGCTTTCTGAAGAATTGCTTTGGGAATTGTTCGTACAAGCCGGGCCTGTTGGTAAGTTAAAACCCTAGTTTCTTCAATAGCTTGTTAAGTTTCTTAGGCAGATAAATAGTTTAGGGTTTATTGGTTTGAAGAAATTTCTGACATTAGCTCCTTTCTGGTTTTTGATTGCATCAGTTAACGTCTATGTTCCGAAAGATAGGGTGACAAATCTTCATCAAGCATATGGATTCGTTGAATTCCGTAGTGAGGAAGATGCTGACTATGTACGTGTTGTTGCTCTTTCAAAGTTTGTGTGAGGAGTTTTTCAACTTCTTTTTCTTGGTTACAATGGTAACAGTTTTTCGATGTTTTGTGCAGGCGATTAAGGTTCTTAACATGATTAAGCTTCATGGGAAGCCTATACGTGTTAACAAGGTATCATATTGTTTCTGTAATTTTCGTTATCTTTGTTTTTCTTGTGAATTCTCGAGATTTAGAACTCTTGCAGATGGCTTTTGTGAGACTTGCTAACTTTTTGTTTCCTGGTGAAAATTGTATTAGGCGTCTCAAGATAAAAAGAGCTTGGATGTTGGTGCTAATCTTTTCATTGGAAACCTTGACCCTGTAAGTATCTTGATGGTAATACTGTGAAATTGGTACTTGAACAATAACTGACCAGGTTTTGGTTTTACAGGATGTGGATGAGAAGCTGTTGTATGATACTTTCAGTGCATTTGGTGTGATTGCTGCTAATCCTAAGGTAGAATCTTTATTTCCTTTAGATTTTCAGTCCATGATTCTTGATCTCTTATCTGTAATTTAAGAGTGATAAACCATTCGTTTGGGAAAAGAATGGTTGTAAGTTTTAGAATCTGATGTTCTGAACTTTTCATTTCAGATAATGCGAGATCCTGATACCGGGAACTCACGAGGTTTCGGTTTCATCAGCTATGATTCCTTTGAGGCATCTGATGCTGCTATTGAGGTATTTCTCAGCCTATTTTGTTCTTTCACAAGTGTCATTTCAATGAACTTTGCCTTCCAGAATGAATCCAACATATATTACTTCTCCGCTCACTTAATCCACTGTTAGTATATTCCTCTGATCTTTCTCTGACTGTTGTAGGCAATGACTGGACAATATCTCTGTAATCGTCAAATAACAGTTTCTTACGCATACAAGAAAGACACCAAAGGAGAGCGTCATGGTACTCCAGCAGGTTAGGCTCTCTTAGCTCTTGTCTTGTTTATTCGTTATGAAACTTTCAATCATTTAATGGAACAACTACTCATTACTTTTGTGAATATGCAGAGAGACTTTTGGCTGCTACAAATCCAACCGCCCAGACAAGCAGACCCCATACGCGCTTTGCAATCGGCCCGCCAACACATCTCAATGCTCCTCAAGCTAACGGTACACCACGTCCGTTTGCCAATGGCGGCATGCAACCTGTCCCGATCCCAGC